AGGTGAACCTTGTGGTCAAGCCGATAGCAGTGGTGTTGCTCTGCATGCACACAGCTTCACTCCTTGATGACAGTGGGCTCCAGGTCCACAAGGGCCGCTCTTGGGACGTGTTGTCCGGCTCCGGTCTCACTCAGGAAAGTGTTGAAGGAGTCGTCTCCTCCTCCGATGGTCTTCCCACTGGGCCTCTGTCCGTCCGACTGGGTCCCATGCTCCAGGCAGTAGAGCTCCCAGCAGGCATTGCCAATATGGACACCGGCTTGACCAACATGGATGTAGATACTGATGAGAAAAAAAAATGTTGGTAATTATAGTAAAGAAACTGTTGGTGTGGCGGGAGGTCTTAGTCCTGATGGACCTCAGCCTCCTGCCAGATTGAAGGGGCACAAACCGGTTTTGTCCGGTGTGAGAGGGGTCGGCTACCATCTTTTTAGCTCGCTTCAGAGACCTGGAGGCGAACAAGTCCTGCAGGGACGGCAGATTGCAGCCGATCAGGCTCTCTGCAGAGCGGAGGACGGATGTTCCAGCATCTCCTTGCTGACAAACCGTGTAACAAGAAAGGGAAACAGGGGAGCTGCTGGACTGACTGGCTGACAGCGTGACACGTCATGCATCACAGAGGAAGAGACAGAGTTACTCCACCTACTCTGCCAAAATTGATTTGTGATGGACACACACAATAGACAGAAAATAAAGCAATACCATTGAAAGCTGAGGACACACATACACACGGTATTGCTTACTTGTGTGCATGGGTGTCATCCGTGCAACCAGTGTTAAAAAATGAACATCCAGACAGGTTGGTTCAGAGGGGGGCTTGGGTGGGCTTGAGGCGGTGGTACTTCTTCTGAGAAGTAACCACAAAATACTGAGAGGCAACAACTTTAACTGACAACGTTCTGCCCGCCGTGTGATCAGGCCACAGGAAACCCACAGAGAAAAACGCACATCCGTGCAAGTGGACTACATTTGCAGCTCACACTGCTGCAAGACACACGGATGAGAACACTGATGCAGGGTACCAGCAAGACCTCCAAGAAGAAGGTATGGTCTTCCTACAGCTGGAGAAACACAAGGCCGAGCACCATCAGCAGCAGCTCAGTCACATACAATGAGACGACACATGAAGTACCTCAGGTTGTCACACTGCACCAAATCCAAAGATCCAAGCGCTCTGTCGTGACATTCAGAGAGTATAGTAGACACAGATGAACCGATTGGTATTAGGACTTTTCTTTCACTGTTTTTCTTTCAGTGCATTGTTCTGCTCTCATTGCAAACAGAATACCAGCCTGGACTTCAGAACCAACAAAAGCACGGGTCAGGAGGCCGGGTGGGTCATCTCCTCTCTTCTAGTTTATCATCTGTGTCAGAAAAAAGGTAACTACTGTATGCCGCTCCTTAAGAGCTAAATGTAAGAAATGTCATTGATCTACTGAATGAATTTCTACCACAAAGACACCTGAAGTCTCTTCTTTTGATCCGTGTTTGAGTGTTGATGCACCACGCTGTCTGTACTGATGTTGTATTGATTTCTGCAGCTCCACAACCTGATCAGCAAACACCTCAAAGAAGACAGCATGGGGTAGGTGCAACACAAGAAAGTACTGACTCATGGCAATAAATCAGTACACGGTCACGATTCTAAAGAACAAATGTCAAATTTCAGGATGAAGATGTATGCTATGCTGCACTGGAAATCCAACAGACATCACACAGACCAAAGAAGAAGTTCTGACTTCAGCACCTACTCTGGCATCAACACTCTACACAAGGATGTAGAGTCTAAAAAAGGAAAATAACAACCACAATTGTTACGTTCCCTGCTCTCAGGCAACGTAACAAAAACAAACACGGGGGAAAATAAGGAAAGTATTAGAGAATAATCAAGAATGTATTAGTTTTAAACATTGTGGCAGCCAAACCAGCCACATGCCTCTTTCCCTCTCCCGATCCCCCTGGATGATGGTTTTAAAGGGGCCGGCGCTGATGGTGCAACCAATCAAGATGGACCCCCAATTAAGCCTTCTGCTGGGCTGCCTGCAGAACACGGAAAAGAAAGATACACAGGCCACCAACAATGGTCAGGGATGACAACATCTAACAATTTGAACATTTGGAGTCAAATAGACCATAGGGAGAAATATGCTTTAGGGCGGGGCTAACTGTGATTGACGGACTACAAATCAATTTCCAACCTATTTTGATTGACTTCTTCCCCACTTACTCTGAGGAGCACTGTAAACTCCTCACATCCCTCCATTTTTGACTGGACTAGGAGTTTTCCCACCTTCAAACCTTTCCCAGTGTGTCATTTCTGTTAAGGGATATCGACCATTCTGTCACTTATCTTCCGCCATTTAAATCTGACAGGCAATCCTTATTTATGGCTTGTATATTACCTACAACATGTTTTGCCGAAAATACTGTTTGCTTAATTTCCTCACAACACTTTTAATAAATATAACTTTTTAAAAACCTTTCAGAGAGAAAAACTGTTTGTTATTGTCGTTTGAAATTCAGCTTCAGCTTCACCTTTTTGGTTGAAATCGATCTGTAACATTTCCTTATGGCTGTGAAGACTGTTTATCTGTAACAAGACATAATTGCTGTTTTCAGGCAGTTTCCTGTTCATATCACAAGCTAGAATCCACCCAGACGCTATAGAGTTCGTGACCTCAAGAATACGTCATGATGGAGCCTCATTCTGTTACACATCATACAGAGCCAAGATGGCTGCTGTTCTCAGGACGTCTCTGCTAAAGTTTCCAAGAAGTTAAAAAGACAGAGGTGACAGCAAAGCAAACCTCAAGCACGTCACACCTTCTACTCAGTAGACCCGCAGGAAACTCACAGTGACAACCAGTCCCTCACAGGGCTGCAGAGCTTAGACACAAAACCACAGGCGATGGAAAAAAGATCCTGGTCTCAGATAGGGTTCCTTCTCTCACATCGTTGTACCTCAACAAACGCTTTCGATTTGTTGAATGCAGGACTCGCCATGTTGGGAACAACAGCTTTGGCGTTTTTGGGAGAAAAACAAACGTGAAAACAGTGATAAAGGCGGTGAAAGGCTGATGGTGTGATCTCAGTCTGCAGCAGCAGCTCCAGGGGAAACGCTCCTGACCTCTAGTGGGGCTGTTAAGTCACAGACCAAAGAACACGCCAGGACGAGGTCTGACCCCAAGATGTCCTGAACAAACAGAACGAGGTCAAGTGCCATCTTGATTTGAAATTGATATGCAATGTTGTCATAGGATAGAGAATCCTTCAGATGAAATCAATACCTTATATTTGGTACTATTCTGCAGCTAATGTGACATTCCTTCTAAGAGATGTTTCGGTTAACGGTTTTACTACAAAATATTTCCAACTGTATGCAAAGACGAGGTCAGTCCGCTGGGAGGCTGTTTCACTAATTAAAGACTGAACAGGACCTACAAACAAGAGTACGGTTTACTCCTTAAACAGTTGATTTAGGCCAAGATGCCGCCTCCAGCAGATGGTTGATGACAGTTTAGGATGATGGGGTGCAACAAGTAGGCCACTACCTGGACACGCGCGTGTGGAGACATTTTGTCATTGTAAATCTAAAATCCAAAAATTGGTTATTACATAATCAAAATGAATTTCAAAAGTGGGGTTTAAATGAATAACTATTATTTGGAAAATCCTTCTTTTATATAGACTTGCATGAGAGGTCAGATTTAGTCAAACTGCAGCAGCGGGCTGAAATGGAAACAAGTAAAAGTATAAAGTAAAAGTAAATAAACGTTCATGACACAGGATATGGAAACACACCTTCATCCAGGTCTGGTTTTCTTCTCGTACATCCACCAAACAGCAGTCACACAAAGCAGTTTATTTGTGGCCAGTAGATCAACAGAGAATCAGAGGCTGAACGAGGAAACAGCATGAAGTGTGAACATCAATGCAGGCATGTGTAGACACACACGCACATAGCGGTACCTCAGCAACCACAGCATCAGTGATATCACACCGTGTTCCAGCCCCAATGTAAAGACAAGTGTGTTTGATAGTTCCCACCATGAAGCTTTGACACTGTGTGTTTCTATCCGTCCTCTGAGATGATGTGTGTGAACGTAGACCAACACACGTCTCCTGTTGTTGTGTTTAGGTGGTCAAACCTCCAAAATAATTATTTGTCTCATTTTTAGAAGAGCCATAAACTGTCTTTTTGGTAATGATTGATACTTGGCCTCTTCTTATAGATCTTTCTAGAGACTGTAAACGATGATGATGAACGTCTGCACGCAGTTTGGCCTCTGAAGCAGGACGGAGAGCAACAGCCTGTCTTAATGCTAACGAGCACTTAATGCTAACAACTTCTTTATCAGTTCTCATGAACAGAACAACAAACACAAGGAAAAGACGTCCGGATCTCAATCATATCACGTGTTTAAAGCCAAAGATCAGATCCACAAAAAAATGGAGCAAATATCACTTTGAGATATTCTCAATAAAACCTACGTACATTAGCCGTTAGCTCCAGTGCTGCTAGCATTACCAGCTCTCCTCCTGTCAGTTTAAAAAAGATGAGTTTGAGATGAGGGACTAGAAACCATTAAAGTTATAATATAATTTCCAGATACATTTTGAATGCGAGCTCATCTGTGTTTATCATCTATGTAAACCATTAGAGTGAGTTACCACAGCAGCCAAAGACCAGCTACATGTCACTAATAGTGTCCTCTGTAAAACTTCATTTTGGGTTGGAGACTAGACATTTTGACGGTGTTCACCATTTAATATAATAATAAAATATGCTTTAAAAAAGCATAAATACAGCATTAATGATAATAATAAAGTAAATTGGCCACTATAGCGACTTGTTGGAACTGTAAATGAAGCTCACTGTGTCCAACACGGTCCTTATTTATTTATTTTGAGGAATGTAAACTTCTGGTCCTTCATGTCTATAAACCCCTCAGCATACTGTACGTACTACTGTACAAACACAACAGTGTATGAAATACAAGGCTGTGTAATGTCACGCCCTCAGTTGGGCTCATCTTATTGTGTTCGTTACAGAGTAATCACGTACGGGAAGCAGGAAGGCGCAGAATACCACAAACATCTTTGCACCAATAGAAAGATCCCACAGAAGAAAATGTTCCACTTGACTGGCCAATCACATTGAACACTTTGTCTTCAAAGGCATCACATCTTTGGGTAAAATCAGTCTGTCTGTTAACTTTCGGTCATCATCACTCATGGACGGGCTGCACACTTTTCTAGTCGCTCTCTTAGGTAAGTCTATGGAGACTTATTTTGGATGTTTTAATTACGCTCTCATTGTTGTTGTGTTGAGCAGAAATCTGCCCCTGCTGTAATGTGAAATCATCCAACACGGAGCACATTTCAATCTGCTTTTACCATTTTCTCTGTTTTCCAGGAGTTGCATCCTGCAGTCATGATTGGATCTCTGGATCAGTGACAGTCAGACCAGGAGACAACATCACTCTCTACTGTGATTGTAAATCATCATCTGGAGTATTCATAGTGTGGTACAGGAACTGCTCTCATGAGAACCAGCCTCCTCTCGTCCTTAAAGTCAAACCATTATACAATCTGGACAGTGACACTAAAGATTATCTGAAAGTTCTTCATCATTTTCAATTTGTGAGAAACTCTTCTTCTAATTCTTATGACCTGCTGATCATGAACATCACTGATTCTGATGAGGGACTCTACTACTGTGGAACTGAAGAGAGTAAAGTGGAGGATAAAGAATTCATTGGCCTCAAAACTCTTTACAGAAACGGAAACGTCACAACAAGGATCTCAATCAGTAAGTTTGCTGCTCTGACTTTGTTCCTGTTAGATCTATGTTGTATGATTTGACTAAACATTTAACACCTTGAAGGAAAATGTACACAGGCTCTATATTTACTTACATTAACGATTAAAATGTCAATATGACGTCTTACAGAAAGATTATGGGAATCAACAACAGACAATATGAAATAAAACAGTATAATGCTTTATACCAGTAATTATATTCCCAAATCTGAGACTTTATGGATCTGAAGAGTTCTCGGTCATCCTTAAATGTGAACTGTACTGTATTTTTATGAATGTTAATGAGGTTTGGGATCATTGAACATTTTAAATCTGAGGCTCCATCAAAGTTAAAGGTTGGACATTTCACTTAATTCTGAATTGTTTGGACATTCTTGCACAAATAATAATGCCAATATAGTATATATCTTTTTCTGCTCAATGAAAAGTTTGAATTCTTAACAATCTCGGCTGAACTTTATTCAAACAAGTCAAAACAACAGTGTTTTCATTCCTGGTGCTTTATGCACATGCAAAAAGGTTTGTTCAGGAACCAAAGGCCTGTATGTTTATATATTTAATAAAGAAAAACATATATATTTTGTTTGTGTTCTGAACAAAGCTAAAGCATCAACATGACTATTGTGCCAACATGTATCCATACAGTGTTTAGTCTCATCGTTGTGGGTCAGAGTTTAATGACGCTTATTGACACAACTTTGTTTCAGGTCCAGACTGCAGCGATTCTCCGCTCCAGACTCCAGAATGTCTCTGTCCTCTGTGTTGGACTCTGCTGGTCTCTCTGTGTCCAGCTATTGCTGTCCTCTCCTCCGTCCTCTCCTCTCTTCTAGTTTATCATCTGTGTCAGAAAAAAGGTAACTACTGTATGCCGCTCCTTAAGAGCTAAATGTAAGAAATGTCATTTCTACCACAAAGACACCTGAAGTCTCTTCTTTTGATCCGTGTTTGAGTGTTGATGCTCTCATACTGCATCATCAGTCTGTACTGATGTTGTATTGATTTCTGATGTTGTATTGATTTCTGCAGCTCCACAACCTGATCAGCAAACACCTCAAAGAAGACAGCATGGGGTAGGTGCAACACAAGAAAGTACTGATTCATGGCAATAAATCAGTACACGGTCACGATTCTAAAGAACAAATGTCAAATTTCAGGATGAAGATGTGTGCTATGCTGCACTGGAAATCCAACAGACATCACACAGACCAAAGAAGAAGATCCAGAGTTCTGACTTCAGCACCTATTCTGCCATCAATACTTCGAGGATATAGAGTCTAAAAAAGAAAAAATAACGACCACGAATCTACAACATCTAATGATGGGATCACAGCACCTATAACACCGACCAGCAAAGGCCCATCTTTGACCTCGACCTTTAGGTGCATCACAAAACCTGCACCAGAATACCAACACCTGTCACAGTACTAGAACCAACTTGGTGGTAGTAACCCTTACAGCAGGCGCCTCTAGGATCTCATTTCTCATTGATGACACACTCTCAAGGTGACATGAAAGACGCCTTTGCAGCTGACATGACAACAAAAAACCTTCTGTTATTGACGGACTGCAGATCAATTTACAAGCTCTTTTACTTTACTTCTTCCCCCACTTCAGTACTCTGAGGAGCAGTGTGTACTTATCACATCATTACGTTAAATCTGACAGGTGTGAGATGCATGTAGTGGTAAAATATACGCTTCAAAACAAAGGACTTCTGTTCATGGCCTTGGTTCATATCTTATTCGGTACGAAAGTTCCGGATCCACATTTTTTACTTTATGTCAATTAATAATGATTTGCAGCGGCCACTGAGGAGGATCTTGTGTGTGTGTGTGTGTGCTGCCCTCAGCTTCACCTGGGTTCTTATCTCAACCTGCTTTGTAGCTTCTCGTAACTGGCACGGAGAATGTCCTTCACATGTGTATAAAAACTCAGCGTTTTCACTGCTCGGAGACGTCATTACACCGAGCGCTGATACGTGCTGGTGTGTTGGACCTCCTGCTTGCAAGCAATAGTTAGAGACAGATATCTGCGGAGAATTGCTCATGTAATCTTTTTCTCTTCTAAATAAATGTTAACTTTTTGACTTTAATCAACGTGCTGCGATTCTTCTCATCAACCAACTCGGGGGGATCGGAGATCCTGACACAGGCAATTATTATTTATCACTTTTATATTAAACATGTTATGGCGAAAAGACTAATACAGGCCCGGCCGTCAGTGCTGTCAGAACAACACTGCATCTAAACTGAATTCAGGAGAAGATATTTACACCCAATGAATTTCATCTTTGCTGGTTTGTTTGCTATTTAGATTTAAGTTCCAAATTGATCAGATGGGGACATTAACATACAGACAGAAAACCTCTTAGTTGTTGATCACAATCCAGCTTCAAGTTCACATTTTCAATGGATATCAACATTTCATAACGGTGATGATTGTGTTTCCATCAAGAGACACGAAAGCTGTTTTCAGATCATTTTCAGTTTTTATATCTAGTTTGCCATCAGCCCCACACATGCCTTTAACGGCATGGTGAGATACAATGACTGAGTAGCTTAATAACAGGAAACCCACAGTGACAAACAGCTCGTCATTCGGCCGCAGAGCTCAACAGACTGAAGCTGTGGACCAGTGACTGCTGAAGTGTAATCCGTGGAAATATATAAAGTTTTTTAAATTGTTCTCGTTGTAAGAGTCTCCACTCGCTCACTGAAAAGAATGCTCGTTTGTCAATTAGATGTATTTATGTCCAACGGCCCTCTCAGCTACACTAAGGTTATTTCTGTCATATGTGTGACCACATCCTGACTGTGAGATGCTCTGCTCTGCACGCGGGCGTCTTTTGCTTGCAGGCAGCGTGCAGTGTGGTTTCACCGCGGTCAGTGGGCTCACAGGCTCACTCGACATCGGCCGTTTGTCTGAACAACGTAGTGCAGCACTTTTGGATGGACGATGATTTCTTGCAGTGAGATGTGGTATTTAAGGAAATGGACAAAAAATTCGGGGATTACAAAAAAAGGGAAGGGAAAGTAACATTCGGGGCCTCGTTTATTAACGTTGCGTACGCACAAGAGAAGGCGTACGCAACGCTCTCTACGCAAGAATTGGTATTTGTAAAAAGCAAACTTGACGGAAAAAAATGTGCGGTGCTTCACGCAGGCTCAGACCCACAAAAACGGGTGAAATGAGAAGAAACACGCAAACGTGTGTAAAAGTGTGTAAAACTAGACTGTTGTAAATGAAATGTCAATACTGCCTCATAAATAACACGAACACCCGTCTGATCTGCAGCGTAAAACAAACAAATACAAATTAACACATTTTCAAAAAGAAAAGTGAAATATGTTCTGCAATAATATCGGCATGTTATTAAATTCATCCTCAAAACACAGCTGTTGCTCGTCAGATGCAATCAGACGGACGGTAATAAAACGCCCTGATGACGTCACAATGCGTGATGGCGCTGATGGCTGATCTCGCGCTCTTAGGAGACGTAGCACATGGAAGGATTGGCGCTGTAGTGCAGCGCACCGTCGGCCTGTTTAAGGGCAGATGGCGCTGGAGGAGGTTGTTGTTTGCTCCTGAGAAGCTGTGAAACATCCTGCGTGTGCTGTGCTACATGATGTGGCTCAGCTTCCAAACGCGCCTCGACCCCCTGACGCCGATGTTGTGTCCTCCATAAAGCATATTCCACTCCTGCTTCCACCTCCCAATGATCATCTCCACTTCACACTGAGTGACGTTACGTTTCTTCGTTTTCCTCTCAGTGTTTGTCATGTTTTCGCAATCGATGAATATTCATTTGTGGGCGTTCCACAGACTATATTTGGGCAACTGTGGGCGTGACATGAAGCCGCAAAAGCTGCGCTGCGTTTAGAAGTGAGTGTGATTTATTGAGGGAAAACTGCGTAGGACGTTTTATAAGTCTGAATATTTCTGTGCGTACGCACGTCCTGCGTTTCATCCGTACGACACTTCAGGCGCAAATCATACGCAAGCTTTTATAAATGAGGCCCCTTGGCCACACCAGAGGAACTCTGCTGGCCTCTATTGGAAAGGTTAAATGATGAAGCAAATAAGGTGAAATAAGAAGGTGAACAAACTAAATACTGAGCTAAATCCTGATGTACGTTTGCTACAGCTGCTGGATTCTATTACTGCATTCATTGGTTCTGACCGGCTGGCCAATTAGTGTGACAATATCTGATTCCTATAAGTTAATTAACTTTATTTGCAGGGAAGAAGTAATGTAACTGTTTATAGTCTATAAGAAAACACTTACTAGAAGACATGTCTTTGTTCAGCACAGTGACCAAATATTTAAATAAACTGATGGATGGATATGATTTGATATTTTTTTGAGTTGTAAACTCCCATTATGGTTGTAATTATTCCTTTGTTTAATTTTGTGCTTTATTTTGCTGTTAAAAAAGTCCCTTAATTGTAAATATCTGAAGTGGTTCTGGTTATTTAGTGTGTATTTGTCTTTCAGCTCCTGGAAGCTTGACATACTTCCATCTTTGATAACTCAGCATGTTGCTGTTATTCCATATGACATCCTTTGTTTAAACCTCTGATCAACAATACCTGGAATAAAGTGTGTATCGTAGGCTAACCATCGTAGGGGCCCGAGCTCCTCCTCTAGCCGGTTTTTCTTTATTACTTTAAACCACAGCTCTAATGTAAATCTGGTAGTAGATGTTTTGCCATACTTGTGTCTCCAATAAGGCTTTGTATTTCCCTTCCTTCTATAGAAACTTCTAGATTTTTCCACTTTGCCTGGTAATCGTCGGTACACCAGTATATTATTGGTCTAATTTGAGCTGCCAGTACGCCCTGAGGTTTGGTAGTGACATCCCCCCTTCATTTTTCCCAATCTGTAATGTTTCATATTTGATTCTTGGATTTTGGCCATTCCATATAAACCTTGAAATAATTGTATCCCAAGCTCTGAATTGCTTCTCTCGATCTCGATTGGGAGTGATAGGAAGAAGTAGAGGAGTTTTGGAAGTATGCTCATTTTATAGAATCTATCCACTTCTCCATGTCACCCCTAATGTCTTGATCCACTTTGGTATAGTTGGCTGTATATAGATCATCAATACTTTTTGTTATAGGCACTCCGAGGTATGTCATACTTTTAGAACACCATTTTAAATTAAGTGTTTGTTGTATACTTTCAGAAGTATATAATTTAGAGTAAAAATTAAATTAAAACGGAGGAGAGTCCCCAGGCGGGTGGCTCGTATCTGGAGGAGGAGATGATTGCTCAGAGGCTTTGTGAGCATGGAAGGTCTCTATGGCAACGTGGGGCCCAGGAATGTAAAGAAGGAGGTGGGAAGTGAATATGCTCAGGTTAAATTCAAAGACAAGAGAGGGATGCATGGGTAGACCACAGATCTAAAGGAATTCCTTCCTCTGATAAATGCATGTGCCTGGTTAGATATTTTGATCAAATTAAAGTGCATATTAACAATGATAATAATATCAATATCACATTTTCTACTGTGCTAACGCGCAATACTCGAAATGCTGTAATTACTCGTATTTCACTCATATAATGTTGCCATTTCACATCTATTTAGTAGTGTGACATGTTTTGTTTATTGTATTATTCAGAGCTGCCAACTTTTCAAAACACCTTGGAGTGAGATTTTGTCGGGGGTGACCAAAATTTTGCCGCGCACGCAGTCACACACGTTGGTGGCTCAAATATCAGGAAATTGGAATTCACTTGGCGTAGTACCCGTGATGTACGCTGCATTCTGGTGGTTTGTGGGGCCCAAAGTGGTTGATCGGGGCGGCCTGCTGGAGATGGACAACACTGGTTACATTCTGTGAAGCAAAGACACAGCTGAAGGACATGTTGGTTTACGTAGATGTTATTACATGCATTCTCGTGGATTTTTGGGTGGTCTGCCTGAACTTATTCTGATTCATCTTTATCTCCTCATGACTTGTGGGGCCTTCTAGACTTGAGCTGAACATTCAACCAGAAAACTATTTCTGTGCCTCAATGACTGTCTATGTACCACAATATAGCCTAATTAATAGACCTGTGTAGGATTTGACCAATTTAGGTTGATTGACATTTTGATTACAATGGTATTCAACTAATTCTTAACTGAAACCTCACCTGTATTGTTAATAATTGTATTCTTGAGAGCACTTAATGATTTATGTTCAGCAAAAAAATGACACAAGTTTAGTTAGGGGAAAATATTTTATATATATACTTGTTTGTCAGTTTGTCCTGTCTGTTGCTCTCTCTGTCCTGTGTGTAGCTCCTCTGTCTGTTCTTTAAATAATATAACAGACTTCCCTTTTGTCCTGGGCCTGGCAAAGGTCTTTTACGAGACATCGTTGCTCCCTTAAAGAACTAAAATGGTTTTTAATAACTCTACTCTCATTTACAAAAGCATGCCTAATTCTATTGCACAAATTTCCCGTCTTTATGTTAAATTCTTTGGAATACATCTTACCGGTTCAAAGTGCTGTTTGGAAAGGGGTCTTTTTCTTTGGCCTGTAAATAAAAAGATACATGCTACGTGAGCAGCCTTAATAAACAATGCTATGGTGTTTTGAGCATGCAGTACACCAAGAGGTTAACACGGTGCTCTCCTGCTGCTTGTTGTGACAGCTGAGTTTACATTCACCACTCAAACTCACACGCACAAACACAACTAATAATTTCTTTCCAGATTTAAAGAGAGTGGGTACTTCATTGAAGCGCACGTCATTAACGTAGCTTAGTCTTTGCTCCTCCTGAGTTTCTCCCGTGGTTGTGTCTGTTTGAAAATCTCCTTCTGTTGATAACTTGGGGACTCTTTGGGGTCAACAGCATGTCTATGCAGCGAATAGGGTTACAGATGCGCTCCTTAGCGCCACCTATCGTCGGGAAGTTTGAAAAGGAACAAACGCGCTTCGGCCCAAAATCAGAATTCATTTTTTGCCGTGAGGAACTGGTTGTGTGGCGTGAGTGCGTGTGAAAACATGCAAAAGCGTGTGTCACACGGCGAAACCCTGGTAGCTCTTTATTATTGTTTACACTTGTTTTGTTCAACTGGTAATTAATAAAATGTGAAATGTACTGCCAATCGGTCGCTAGCTGTCACACCATAAATATCCGGGTCGGTCACTTCCTGTTATGATTTACAATCCGACTCGGCGGTGACAGTAGTGATGGCAAAGTGAAGCTTTCCAGCCAATTGTATGGGAAAAAGGTTCATTCATTCAATGCATCGCAAACTCTACGATGACCTCTGCTGTTGAAAACGTGTAGTGCAAATGGTTCGAATAGCCCACCAGTATATTTTGGCCCAATCTCTGATTATGAAAAGTTGAACCAATAAATCATCTAATAAATACACGGATTCCTATATGAATAAAACTATTGTTTTTCAGGTTTGAATTGTGTCCTTGTTTGTGTATTTCAATTCTCTGTACATTGGAAAGAAGTTTAACAAACACTTATCTATATCTTTCTGCACCTTTGTGCATGTATGTTTGTGATCATACTAGCAGAATAATTAATAGAAGAGATTATATATATATATAAAGTGCTTCCTACTGCATGTGCAGTTCATGCAGTCATAGGGATTTATGTGAATTGTTTGAATGTGGAGTGATTGACAGAGGAAAGGTCAGTGGGGCAGTGATTGTGCTGACAGGTTTCTTATGACAGGATATTGAGGTGCTTGTGGACACATGGGATGGGGCATGAAATTATTATTGATTTTTATTGAGAAACACAATTTTCTCCACAGAATTGGGGTTGAGTCGGTTTCTTAGATACTGTTTCCCCAGCTTTAGAAAAAAGGCGCTCATGCGGCACGATCAGGCAGGAATGCTCATAAGATTATGTGCTAATACAAACAGATGTGGGTACACATGTTTGTGTTGGACCCAATATTTTAGCGGCTCTTCACTCCGTGGAATGTTTGATTCAGCCAAATATCTGGTGGTCTCCACAATAAAAATAAACATCCATAATTACACAATACAAATGACAGACGTTGCCTGCCTATTGCCAACCTTGTTAGAGGAAATCAAATTGAAGTGCTCCCACATCTCGGAGCGACCTCTCTTTGCCACAGGTTCCATTGTAAATGTGCTCTTTGCTACAACAACAACAACAACAACAACACTGACTTTGACTGTATCAAACCAACAAGCCCGAACCCTGTTTCCAGCCCATTTGAATCAAATCGAAGCGGTCACGTGACTGTGCGCAGGAACGAAGCTTCGGACGTCACTGATTGCGTCACTGAGCCGGACCGAAGCTTCGGACGTCACTGATCACGTGATCAGCAGCGAACGAGCCGAGCATCTTTACGTTTGCTTCGCCGTGCACTGTCTGGTTCATGTTTCGACACTAGCTTCGCAGCAGGAGGGTCGGAGGTAACGACACTAGTGACAGCTGGGGCAACACGCAGGACTCCTCGTTCAGCGGTCAGTCTGTGTGTACGTGTATGTGTCAGTTACGAAGCGGCTGGCGCGGTTGTTGATGTCCTGCTAGCTTGGCGGTTAGCGTGGTTTTAGCACTTTGTCAGCAGATCGAGCGCTTCTTGGCTAGCATTCGCTAGCTTAGCGATTAGCATGTTTGTGGGCAACTATAGATGGTATGTTTTTGCATTGAGATTGTTTGTTTGTGATAGCCATGTGAGCATTGTGAATACGAGTGAGTGTCTTGGAGGGTAATTATTATTGTGACCTTCTTCAGGTCAGGGTTTTGAACCAGGACACGAGTGGTACCTGAAGGCGCACGGATTACCATTTGGAGCTACCAAACGGACCAACCTTCCAGTCCTGTGGAGATGTGGTAGGACAAGGAGACAAAAAGCCTTTCCATGGACCTCAAAATGGATTATATACTTTTTTCCATATTTTTCTTTCCTCGTGTGATGAACCGGATGGACTTGAACTAACCGAATTTCTTTATTTATGAATACAAGTCTATAAATGCACCACAGCTGGACTGACTCGTCGTTGTTTTTTTCCCACACACATTTGGCTCCGTAGGGGAATTTGAGATCTTTGGGTCGAAGTGAGAATTTAAGATTGAACTAATGTTAAGCTTAGGTTGGGAAAACATCAAGCGATGGTTACATCAAACTGAATTGTCTGTAGCTATTTGAGCACAACGTGAGTGCATTAGTGAACATGTATTTTTGTTTTTTACATAAATAAGTCTATAGGACTGTTTGTATTAATCATGTATGTATAAATCCAAGCTGAACCTTTCCACCAATCTTTAACTTTTTATTTAAACACATCTCTAAAAGCTTTCCATGGTTTCTGGCCTCTCAACCTGTACAACAAGTGATGGGAAGTGTCCAGTGAGCCAGACGGTAGACATGGGAGGCGAGTTCCTCTCTCAGGATTCAGCGATCACAAAGGCGCCTCATCCAATCATTGCTGTGATGTCAAAATTAGGATGTTAATGGGGAAAGAAAAGAGGGGGGGGCCATATAAACTGTTGGGACACCGTCAACCACAAATGGCCTCATGCAATCACTGCATTGAGCCAAATGGCGCCGATGTCAAAAGTAGGATGTTAATGGGGGAAGGAAAGATGGGGGGGGGGCATATAAACTGTTGGGACACCGTCAACCACAAATGGCCTCATGCAATCACTGCATTGAGCCAAATGGGGCTGATGTCAAAAGTTGGATGTTAATGGGGGAAGGAAAGATGGGGGGGGGCATATAAACTGTTGGGACACCGTAAACCACAAATGGCCTCATGCAATCACTGCATTGAGCCAAATGGCGCCGATGTCAAGGATGTTAATGGGTCAAGGGCCGGTTAGATTTCACAGCTGGCATCACATGTATGAAAATTTCCCTTTATGGCTCTTTGGATGTTGACGGGGAATCTGGACAGAAAGGTGCACTAGGTGTGTCATCTTCATCTTAAGCCTAGTTCATGCTTCTCGTTTTCAGAGCGACGCAAGACCCCCTTGCGGCCTTAAGAGCGTGGGTTTACTGGGTGTGGTTTCCTTTTAAGCTGGTGGGTAAACTTTGCGGCCTGCCGCACTCTTCCTCGTGAACCACCATTTTACCTTCCCCACTGTCGTTTTTGGCAACTCAATTTCTGGTCCATTTGTCTCTTTGGTCTGTTCAAGTTTCCGTATCCGCAAAATTGGTTCATTTATTGTCTTTGTGTTGTCGCCGATCTCCACACATTTCGCAGGTTTACTGGGTGTTTCCTTTGAAGCTAACGGGTAAACTTTGTTGCGTGCTGCACCCTTCCTCGTGAACCACCCTGTCTGCTTTGTCTCTTTGATCTGTTCCTGAAGTTTCCGTATCAAAACCGTCTTCTCATTCAGCTCCTGTGTGTTGTGGCTGACCTCCAGACATTTCTTACAAAGCCGTCCCCTCTCAACCAGCACCTCGCGGGACTTTATATCGATGACTTTCTTGTACTTATTATGCAAACCATTGACAAATTTCCTCTCATGTTCCGTCCTTTTCAGCACCATGTAGTCGTCATCGTCGGTGAATTTTATTTTCAGATCGATCACACTTCTTTTAAACCTCTCTGTGTCAGAGATCAAATCTGTGCATTTCAGCAGCTCCATCTTGAAGTGCTGCTGATAGGCCACCAGCTTCTTGCACCTCTCCCTCTCCTTGCACAATTCCTTCTCAAGTTTCAAATTCTGAGATTGAAATTCGGCCCGATTGTTGATGGTCTTTTTCTCACTTTTTTCTAACTTTTCGGAGTCCTTATCTGTTGGATCTAACTCGATCTTTAGTTCTTTAGGAGTGTTATTTTCTTCCTTCTTAATCTTCGATTTCATTTTGAGGAGAGCATGGAGGCATAGTTCCTCTACCACATGTTCTTTCCCTTTCTTGAGCTCTTCCTCACGTTCTTTTCCTCTCTCAAGCTCTTCCTCACGTTCTTTCCCTTTCTTGAGCTCTTCCTTGAGACTCTCTATCTCCAATTCGCTATTGTTGAGAGTCCGGGCAGTTAATTCGGCTTCGCGTTTTAACGTGGCCACATCGCGGCGGCGCACTTTCCTTTCACTGTTTTCTACCCTGAGGAAATAAATTTCGTTTTGGGATTGGGCAATTTGGATTCGCAGGTTGTCACGGTCAGCCTGCAATTCTACCATTTCACTTTTAAGGGTAGCCTCCTTACCTTGCAGAACGTTTTTTTCTAAAATAGACTCATTGTGCTTCTGTATTAAACACTGCAGCCTAGTCTCTTGGTGTTCCATTTCGTTTTTATGGTTTAAAACCAGCTTATCAACCACTTGTTCGTGCATCAGCTCTATTTCCGCCAGTTTTATTTCATGGTCTGCTTTCATCTTTGACAGCTCAGTCTCGTTCAGGCTCAGTTTTTCATCGTAGCGCCTGAACATTTCCACAGACTTCGATCGCACCAGTTCAAACTCTTTCTGAAGATTGCTATTGAGTGTCACCAATGTATCGATCTTTTTGTTGTAGTCATCTTTGGTGGCCGTGAACTTCCTTTTGTGTTCTTTATTCTCCTTTTCGACAACTTCCAAGTCGTCTTTGAGCGCTTCTACCAGCCTCTTCAGATCCAGTATTTCCCTGCATTGGTTTTGATTGTATAACTTTTTATACCTTTTATCGGCAGACTGTGCTCCACGGAGCCATTTCAACTCTAAATTTCCTTCGCAAGGTTGTTTTTTCGACATTGTCCACTGCCGATTTGTTAAAAGTATTGCTATCTCCTGTGGGCTATCTCCTGTGGGCTATCTCCTGTGGGCTATCTCCTGTGGGCTATCTCCTGTGGGCTATCTCCTGTGGGCTATCTCCTGTGGGCTATCTCCTGTGGGCTATAACTAGTATTCCAGAAGCGATGAGGTCATCACATTCCTTTGATGTTTTGGCCACGCCCCTATGACCTAAGCGCAAAAGCGGCCAATGGAATGAGTGCATCAGGCAGGTGGGCGGGGCTTAGCTTTCAATACTATGATGTCATCAAGCAGGTGTCCAAGCCCCGGTGTGCTCCTGTGGGGTGATTCCCTGCTCGTTCTCTCCTCCTCTCAGGACGGAGAAAAACATATATTGATTATCGACAGATTGTGTGGACGGAAATAATAGAATTTTTTTCTTTTCTTTTTTTTACATAAAAAACATACATAGTATCATATTTATAAAAATAAACTTTTTTTATTTCAATTAATTGATAAAAACAGTAGGGAGAAAATAGAATCACAGAAAATAAAATAACAATGTCCATCCAATGTCTTTTTTTTCCGATACTATATTTTTGGGTAAAATTGAAACTGTTTTTTTTTTGATGGGTCACAGTGAATTTGAGACCAGGTTGTGAGGTCACGGTGAGCTTTAAGATGTACTTGTTTAAAGTATGAGTACGTGATTTAGGGGTTAGACCAGGGGTGCCCAATAGGTTGATCGCCAAGGCAGTGCCGGTAGACTGGCTGCCATTGGAAAAAACGTAACGTTGGGTCACCATGTATGTGCGGTGGACCGCGGGAGCAAACGGAAAACTAATTAGTGATCCTAGCTTACTAACGAACACATGTATTTTCATTCAAAAGCAACCCTTTTTGAATTAGAATTTTGGCTTGTTTGTATCACTCAGATTTTGAAATCATGATTTTACTCTTAAATGAAATATTCATTAATGGCACTGCTGTGATCCCTCCATTTTTACACACTACACATGCCGTATTATAAGATTCTGTCCCCTGATACCTCAGAACTTTCATAGCTATTATGTCCCAACTGACATTGTCGAAAACAACTTATTGATATCTTGGCTGCGAAAGATTGACAGACCTAGCGACAGTAACCGAGGAGGGAGGGACTTAGCGAAGGGTCATTTAACCTCCATGAAGTGTTCACCAAAAGTTTATTTAACGCGAATGTCTCACATTTAGATTCTGCCATTTACTCGGCCACAAAATGTTTAGTTGCTAAGAAGGATCCTGCCCAAAGAAACTTAGTTGCTTTCCATATCAAACCAATCATTATATGAAAAAGTATCCAAGATGGCCGCACAGACGTCTCTGTTTGTTTTGTTTTCTCCCATTAACCAAACAGTGTTTAAAACCCATTTTAACGATCCTAAATTTGTAATGTCTATTTGGTCACCTGAACTGCTCACGTCTCCCCTGTGTTGTCTCTTGTAAAACTTTTTTATTAAATACGACTCACTGAGTTCAGCTGGAGGCGACGGCCGGTGTTACACCCTACTGGTTTCTCCACCTATTGGTTTCCCTACGCGTGCGTGTTTGTGTTTACTCCACAGCAGCAGATGTGTCCGCCTCAGTTCCCTGATCCGTCACACATTCACAAACACATTGCTGAACATCGTCAAAACGCATCATAAATCCATAGCAGCGTTTACGGTTGTATAAGTGAGCACCACATCACAGCCACGTATAAACACATTTATATAAAGAACTAGAAAAAGCATTTCCTGCTGAAAATGCGTTGGAATGCAAAAAGCTGAAAGCTGCACTGAATATTTAAAAATAGCTGAAAATACAGAAAGTTGAAGGGAATTTGAATACATTTGCTGAATATTTAAAAATAGCTGAAAATACAGAAAGTTGAAGGGAATTTGAGTACATTTGCTGAATATTTGAAAATAGCTGAAAATACAGAAAGTTGAAGGGAATTTGAATACATTTGCTGAATATTTAAAAATAGCTGAAAATACAGAAAGTTGAAGGGAATTTGAGTACATTTGCTGAATATTTGAAAATAGCTGAAAATACAGAAAGTTGAAGGGAATTTGAATACATTTGCTGAATATTTAAAAATAGCTGAAAATACAGAAAGTTGAAGGGAATTTGAGTACATTTGCTGAATATTTGAAAATAGCTGAAAATACAGAAAGTTGAAGGGAAATTGAATACATTTGCTGAAAATATTAGAAAAGCTGAAAATACAGAAAGTTGAAGGGAATTTGAGTACATTTGCTGAATATTTGAAAATAGCTGAAAATACAGAAAGTTGAAGGGAAATTGAATACATTTGCTGAAAATATTAGAAAAGCTGAAATTAATTTGAAATAGCTGAAAATACAGAAATGGGAGAAGCTGAAAGGAATTTCAATAGATTTGCTGAAAAAGCAGAAATGAAAACAGCTGAAATAAATGTGAAATATTGCCAAACAGAATACAGAAATTAATATTAAAACATTGCTGTTAATAGAGGCATAAGAAAAGCAAATTGATTTAAAGAACTGCTGAAAATACAGGAAGTGGGGAAGCTGAAGTTCAATGGATTTTCTAAAAACAAAACT